TGGGTGGCCCAACAGGGGCTACGCATCGATAGTAGAAACATTGATCGGCAACCCTTTGATTGGTCGGCGAAAATGTCGAAGGAGCGCGCTCGGTATTCTTCGGCAGCAGAGCAAGAACTCTTGAGTGAGGGATTTTAGGAGTTTCAGAGTCTAATTAAAACGCAAGGGAACACTGCAAAGGCTGCAAAAGCAAGGAGAGAGGGCTGGCAGAAAGTTGCTGACAAATCAAACTCGTAAGTAATTTAATAATAACAATAATAATGGAGTGGATCTATATAGCGCTCTTCAAGGCACCCAAAGCGCTTTACAATGCCACTATTCAGTCACTCTCACATTCACACACTGGTAGCTGTCACAGCTGCCCTGGGGCAGACTGACAGAAGCCAGGCTGCCATATCGCGCCATTGGCCCCTCTGGCCAACACCAGTAGGTGGTAGGGTAGATTTATCATATCACACTATATTATCCAATATTATATTACATTATATTATATTACATTATGTTATATTATATCCCCTTTCACATTAGAGCCACAACAGGACCCACTAGAACATGGGAACAAGTAAAAGTGAAATATAAGAATATTCTACAGAATGGTAATATTGATCACTTATATTGCTTTTCGTCTCTTGGACAGAGACCCTGAAATAATCTGTTTGTTTGTTTATAACAGCAACCAAGAAAAGGGGCAGCGCAAAAAAAGACAGGTGGTGGTCCTGCACCCCCTCGTCAACAAGTTGGTTAAGTGAATAATACCCTCACGGGAAAATCGATATCTCTCTATGAGCACACTGTCGCGCTGAGCTAAAGGATCCTGTCTGTCCCGCAATATACGCTGAATTCTGAGGACTCTCCTTATCAATCTTGCACCTTCCGCAATGGGTTTCTCGCGTATACGGACAGGACATGGCTGCGACAGGCTTCCCAAATCCACCTTCGCTTTTATAGCCGTGGTCTCCCATCTTGATTACACGAAGTAAATTGCAATTACTACTCTGAAATCTGAATTACATCTGTAATAATCACATACATGTAATAGAATGTTAATAGTACATTTCCCTTTTTTAGGAAATGACCTGTATGTATCTGTGTGACATCAATAAAAGGATCAAGTGCTGCATTATCTTTAGTTACATTGATGTTATTTATTTATGGTACAACAGTGGTAAAATATCGCTGTTGCTTTCGTATACATGAAGCGGAAATACCTGAGTGGCCGCGATCTAATCCTGTTTACATAAAGTAAACCTGCTCCCGAGCAGGTTTACGCTTACGGCTCTGTTGCTATGACAGCAAGTCCCGGATGGGCTTCGAAGAACCGAACGATCCAGGATCACGCGAAATCGTCAACATTCAAATCCGGCTAACTTACTTAGCGAGGTACGAAGAACGGGCCCCAGGTCAGTGTAGCTGTGTTGAGTTGAGTTGAGTTGAGTTGCTTATTTATTTTTTGGTCACAAACACTGGACAGCATCAGTCTCCTGCACTTCGTTGGCCTCTTAAGTCAGGTCTTACCACACTCACAGATGTCCATGTTTATATGGTAAAATAAAAGTACCTTCACTTTGCTTTGTTCTAATTCTGGGCACACAGAGAACACCTGTCACTGCTGATCTGAGAGTGCTGCATGTTTTGTAAGGCACAAGTAGATTTGAAAACGCAACTGAGTGATAATGATTTGTCACTTAAAAATTATTATGCATACCGGTACATTTTAAACAACTTTGTTGGACTTATCTGGACATTTAACAAGAATATCATATTTTTACACCAACAAAATTAAATTTTTGTGTGATTTTCATACATGGCTGCTTTTATATTTCACATTTATGTAGATACACTTTATAGAACTTATTTAATGTATTTTTTACTGTGTTGTTCACCCTGTTCTGTTTTTGATATGTCAGTCTAACATGCATTCTTTAGTCTTACATTTAGTACAAATTATTACTCCTAATATAATGATAATAAAAATAATGCTCTCGGTGTGGTTGTGGTATTTTGAATTTAGCTGCAGAATAATCACATCAAAACCAAAGTATCATAAACCTGTATTTTATTCACAGTATGATACAGAAAATATATTAAATGTTTAAAGAGAGTCATTTTATTATTTCATTAAAAACTTTGAGTTCATTTTGAATGTGAATGCAGAAAGATATCTTTAAAAACATATGGATGCTGCAATGGTATGAATTTCAAAATTCATACCTACATCACCTTGTTCTTCAACTTATTGCATTCACAAGATTTTTAAAAACACTTCACCTCTGACCTTGATCTTAAGGCCGAGGTCACTGAGATGTGATGTCATCCAAGATTTTAGTAGATAGAGTTTGAAACTCAGGTCTCGCTGGCCTACCCGTCCGGCAGGGTCCTGACAATACCCCATCTGTCTTTTATGGCTGACAGTAAAAAGGGTTAGTTTTGAGAGCAACTTTTAATTTAGTTTTAGCCATATCTTTTGACTGAAGCGTCATTTAGTTATTGTCAGAATTTAGACATCTGAATTCATGTGATTACTAAATATCATAAGATTATTTTTGACTAAATCTAAAATGATACAGTTTCCTGGGCATGTCTTACTGCCATGGTTCTTGGTGTTGGACCCAGTGTTTTGAATTATTGATTTGGTTTCTGGTTTATAGGGTTCACATTTTGGTATATTTGGTTCTATTCCTTGTTCCTCTCTGCTTTAGAGTTAATTCCTCACTCAGTGTTTATCATCATGTTTAGTCACCTGCATTAGCTTCATTTGTGTGTCTGTGTATCACGTTAAACTCTCAGTTTGCGTGTGTTCCTTGTCCGATCCTCGTTTATGCACTGTAAAATCGAATTAGCTGATAAAACTTTAAAAAATTATACAGACTCATTGGCTCAAAAAACAAAGTAAAGCTTGCTTACAATAATTAAGTTAGGACATCTTACTCATTCTGATGCTGTGTGTCTCCGGGAGTCAAGGTTTCAGTCTGTTTACTCCTCCCGTACGCCATGACTGCAGATAAAGCTTTTTTTTCATTTATTTCTGCCTCCTGACTTCTGCATTTGGGTCGACTCTCTGCCTACCGCACAGTGGTCCATCACACATGCTAACTGGAGCTCATCTCTCCAGAAATTTTTCAAGCCATTTTTATATTTTGATGAAAGTGTCGGTCCATTTCATTTGTCTTCATGCTGTGACCCAGTATTTGTGTTTCAACATCTGGAATTATATTCTTTGATTACTGATCTTCGTGTTTTTGAGTTTTTTATTTAGTTCTCTCTCCCTTAACGTTTATCTCAGCCTGCAGTTAGTCTCTGTTCCCGTGTTTTCCCTGTTCTTTATATCCCTGTGTGCCACATCTAGTGCTTTTGTATTTCTTCTGTTCCAGAGTCTGTCGTGTTTCCATTTCAAGTCGTGATGTCATTCTTCCTGTTTTATTTTGATAGTCCTTGCCTTATGTCAGTGTATTCTGATTTTCTTTCTTTTCCCCCTGTGTGCCCCTCTGTGTATCTGTGAACCCTTGTTTCCCCTCCTTGTGTTTTATTCCACGTTTTCCCCAGCCCGTTATGTCCGTGCTCTCTCTCCTCCTGTCTGAACCTCTGTGTACTTCCTGTTTTACTTTGACAGTCTCTCGTCAGTATGTGTCATGTTGTGTTCACTCCTGCCCTGCCTTGTTACAATTATCTGTGTCAGCTGTGTTCCCCATGTGCTCCCACTTCCCTCGTTTACCCTCTGTGCATTTATGTCCACGTCTCCCTCAGTTCAGTGTTGCGTTCTCCCTCGTGCTGTGTGTGATTCTCCCTGTGTTTCCTGGTGAGCTTTAGCTTTAGTTTTTCCCCAGTTGTATTACTCGTGATCTGTCTTTCCAGCAATAAAGCTGTGCTTTCTGAGTTTATTCCCCGTGTCCCCGTGAGTTTGCGTTTGGGTCCTCTCCTGCCTGCCACACAGCCTAATCATGACAGACACATGCCTTTGTTTTTATTTTGTTATTATCTTGTTTTTTGTCAGGAAGGGAAAAAAAGATCATTGGCTAAAAAGCAAGTGGTACTAAAAAGAAACAGGTCGAGAAACATTTGGCAACTAATTAGATTAGTTGGCAACAACTCTGTAACATTGCTAATGCAAACAGGCCAAGACTGACATAATCCCTACATCAAATATCTGAATGTAAGTGAGGTGTTTTTGAATTAAAGTTCTCTTTAAAGTTATGTACAAACTGTAGAAATGGGTTAGCATCACTTTCCTTTCCAGACTATATGACCCAAAGGTGCATTGTATTATTATTTTCATTACTAAGATTATATTACAAGTGTTTGGGTAATTAATTGTGCATTTTTAATTCAGGTGTGGTTGCATGTTTCAGTATTCTCATTCTGATTCTGATGGCAAAGAAAATAGCCTACAGTGTAGGACATTTAAAATAATGACAAAATAATGATATTTTCATATCATTATTTGGATGATCTGATATCCTCGTGTTGGTGTTGTTCCCAGACCATCATGAAAATGTTGTTCCAGGTTCAACATTGCAAGTGACCAATCACATTGTTGTGACATTATTCTTTTGCGCGCCAAGCCATTCGTGCATTTATGAAATTCCAATGTTGCAAGGACAATGTCAGCCCTTCTCCTTTTAGCATGCTCCATGATAACAAGCGCGTCTATGTCAGATGTGAAACTCCAAAAGGAAGACTAAATATCTATAAATCATAAATCACACCAACGCTCGAACCACCTGCTAAAACAGCGAGGCTTCAGACGTCATTAGTGACGTCACTCGCCCTTAAAGAAGCAAGCCTCGGCACGCGCTTGATAAAAGCCTTCCTGGATTTCTCGACGGCGCAGCGCGTCCCATCACTAATCCCAGGCTTCACTTTCAAAATTCATTTTTCCATTTTATCAGCTATCATTCGGCTGAACCCGGCACTGCTCGGGCATCTTCGGAAGTAATGGGCGTGCTCGAATGCAGTGCGTCTCAACCGGCGGTACAATCGGATGATCCCGGGCGGGCGGAGCCAATTAGGAGGAAATGGTACAGTTGGCTGACTCCTCCTAAGAAAACCGGCGACGACCATCAGTACCCGGCAGTTTCATCGTACATCTGTACCGCTTTCAACTCAACGTTACAGCAGCGTGTTAAATCTCTTGAGCCAGTCTTAGGTCACTCACAAAAACCACACCAACACTTACTTCTAAACCAAGCGGCACTCGTATGGTGCAATTTTTTTTTAGAAATTTACGCCAAGGGCTTGGAAATTAACGTTTCAGAGAAATTGCTGCAGGATGGAGACGCAAATACATGTACCCGTGGGCTCGCCGGTAATTAGAAAAATCCCAGTTTTCGTGGACGAGCGCAACGTAACGGAGGGAGCGATGAAGCTCATTAAAGAGCTGAGACCGGCGTGGGACTCGAGCGACGTCAAGACCAAGGTAACGTTAGCCGCAAAGCTAGCTGTACTGATTATGCTAGGCTAGGAAAGGATTGACAGCTTTGCAGCATCACCGGCAAGCTAGTAGGAGGGTCGTGGCAACCTGACATGTCGCCTAGCTGAATTAATTTTATTGCACCGCCTATAGTTGACTATTTCTATTTTCTTTACCAACTAAGAAGTTTAAATTGGTTTTGCTTTAGAGAAAATTTACATTTATAGGTTACCGTAGCTATCAAGGTGTTCTAATTAATTAGCAAACTTGCACCAGGATGTCCCAAAGCTTGGTACGCTTCTTATCTGTAGTGTATGCCCAAAGTGCACATCGCGTAGGGCACTTAAAGACGGTGTGAAAGCTGGTATAAGTCGCGCTGTCATCTTGGTGTTGGAGGACAGCTGATGGTGGCGCGATGGTCAGTTTGATAGAGGAACACGGTGATTGGTAATAATTACTAGTTCAAAGGGACAGACTGTGTTACAGCAGGTCCCTGAGCTTTGTGTTCATTATAGCCTGCAGCTGATTGTTGTGTCTCGTTTCTTCCCAAATACATGTGTGTGAATCCTAATGATATTAGACACACTAGATTTTGGACTTCAATGGAGTGTACATGTTGGAGGCCAAGATATACAGTCTCTTCTTTTAAACCGTTTAAATGTTTTCTTAAAAAATAGTACTAAAGAAGTGTAAGTGTGTGTGTGTGTGTGTGTGTGGTGTTTTTTTTTTTTAATAAACAAAGAACCGTTGGGAAAAAACATCTTCCAGTTTTACTATGTCCACTACAGAGGATATAGCAAATAGGCTGAGTCTCCGGATAATATTGTTGTTGTTCCCATTTTATACAAGTAAAATAAAAAACTTTTTTTTCCAAGTGTTTTAAAGTCTTTCGTCTCTTTGAACATTTCCTCAGCTACAAAAGCAGAGATTAAACATCAGCCCCAGTCATATGTATCTTATCACTGATGGGCATTAGCAAGCCAACATGTCTCTCTAGCTTTCAGGTGATGTCAGATTACTGGGACACGCCCACCTGAATGGCAAAAACAGTACTGCTTGCCCTCCAGCAATCATTTGAACTTTGAGTTTAATTTAGCGTAATAGTTACTGTGCTACTAGATGTGCTAATCAGCATTTATTTATAGCTGCTGTAGATCGGGCACCAACATGTGAGCACACCTCTGCCAACCCTGCCTTACAGGTCAAATCCCACCAATCATTGCTTCTCACCAGCAGCCCAGGCTGTTAGTGGCAGCTCATTTAAACTGTAAAAATGATTTACCTGACAATGGAAAAATACTTTACTGTTATGTCATAACATTAATGTCACAAATTATTACTACTGGAATTTTAGTGACCCTGCACTGTAAAAGTCTAAGTCAGCAAACCGTAAGATTTACATGTGGTAGTTTGAAAACTTTTATCCTTTTATCCATACAAAAGCCATCTACTGTTATGGTATGTGGGCTGATGGTGATGCCAGCCATCTGAGAATACAAATTCAGATGCAGGCAGACAGGACATTGTTGGTTCTTTTAAAGGGGAAAGAATTCAATTCAATTCAATTTTATTTATATAGCGCCAAATCACAACATAAGTCGCCTCAAGGCGCTTCATAGATACAGAGAAAAACCCAACAATCATATGACCCCCTATGAGGAAGCACTTTGGCAACAGTGGGAAGGAAAAACTCCCTTTTAACAGGAAGAAACCTCTGGCAGAACCAGGCAGAATGAGATCGCAGATGCATGCTTTGCAAATGAGCTTTCTCCGAACTGTAGATAAGCTCTCCATTAGCATAGGAAGAGGAATTGAGTCATTTGGGAGGGGTTCAGAGCAGAGCCGCTGTTCCTCCACATCGAAAGGAGTCAGTTGAGGTATTGCCTTCTGGGTAAGGTGTTTCAGTTGGGTACGTCCTACCTGGAGGAGGCATGGGGCAGACCAAGGACACGCTGGAGAGATTCTGTCTCTCGGCTGGCCTGGAAACACCCCAATAAGTCCCCGGATAAACTGGAGGGCTCGCTGGTTGGTGAGAGGGAGATCTGGGCTCCCTGCTTAGCCTGGTGCCCCTGCATCCCATTATCAGATACTGGACGATTTATTCATTCGTTATGTTAGAGCTGAACTTTTATTGAGTAGTTGTCATGAATTTTTAAACAGTGGAAATCATTTTGTCTTGATGGAGTGATCAGGCCTGAGAGTCAACAGGAGAAAAATTGTATGAATTGTATTGATCTTAATTTTTAGCAGGTTTAACTTTTTTTTTTTTTTAGTACCTTATTTGTTTATTTTTATTGTTTTTGAATACATCTATAATTCCCTTTTTTTCGGACCCTCATGCTCCTGTAACAAGTGAATTTCCCTACTGTGGGATTAAAATCTATATCTAATATTTGCAAATTAATCCCCGGTTTAATGCAAAGTTAAAAGGTTGGAAGTAAAGCCTTGATGTTGATTTACAAAGTTGAAGGAAACTCTTATATGGAATTCATCGTCATAGGCCTACCTCAGGTTTGTGCTTTTGCTTATACTTTGATGTGGGACGATAATAACAATGTGCTTTAATAATATAGGCCATGAGCTAAACATCCACCCCTATAACAACGTCATGATATATTGTACCATTGGGTATGTAGACAATGGTGCGTATCAGCACCTTTATTCATTGTAATATAATAACAGTTGGTGGCAGATGTGGTTCCAAGAAGTCTTTTTTTTTAAAAGATTTCCCTAGAAGTGTGGTGGTGTTAGGTAATCCACAGAGACTTGACTCATCAGGGAAAGAAAAATGCATAATTGATTCCAGGTAAAAGGATCTAGTAACTGTTGTGTCGTAGCTGGGTCAAAGTTTTTGGAGCAGTGAGCGCTACAGAACTGTTAAAAGTCCTCAGTGGCACAGTCTAAGCCCAGCTGCTTCAGCCCTGTATTTACATCCTGGTTACTCCTCTCCCTGGGCCTTGCACAACAGCCACCTGCAGCTGAGGATGTGACCGTGTTTATCTCAACTTTTCCAGGCCAGACTGGCAAAACTTCTCTCAACGACTACCACTCTGACAGTAGATTTATACACCTGCACTGCTAACAGGAAGACCTGACCGGCCCTGCCACCTGGACAGGGAGATTTTTATTGTCTATTGCCAAACATCCACACACTTCCTGAAAATGGCAGAGTGCCTGCAGCGACAGAGAAATGGTCTCCTCTTACAAGTTTCACATAACGAAGACTCAAAGATTCACGTCAATCAAAGGAAACCTGTTCCAGCCTGTACAGTGAGGTCACCCTACAGGGAGCTGGTTATTGGTAGTGGGGTGGTTGAGGGGGGGGATGCCACCATCAATGTCCCATGCAAGCAGTATATGGCAGAATGTTTACCTCTGTCTGGGTCCAAGCTTATCGCTGTCTGTCGATGTATTGATCGTAGGTCTTAGCAGCGTATTGTGTGGCGGGCAGAAGGGATCAGTCACGTTTTGGCAAAGGCGTGTATGCTTGTGTATGAATAGTCATAACAGGGATGTCTGTCGCCCATCTTTGTGGTGAGCCACGTGTGGAATGCCAGATATGCGTGAGTGAGCGTCTGGTCCTTGGGGGGAGATGCAGGCAGTGTGTATGTTGTTATTGTGTCCGCTGCAGCGGGACGGACCGGCCCACCACTGTCCACTGGAGCCACGCTGTCACTCCGATTTTTTTGTTTTTTAAGGCCAAGTTTCAAACACACAAGGCTTTTTGCTAACTTTTCATTTTAGAAAAAGCATTTGACTCAGCTTGTTGACAGCATCACTCTTTAAGACTGATCAGGCGACGTGCAAGAAGTCTTCACCAGTGATATGAAGGAACACTCAGGGTGTTTTTACTCTGGTTCGTTTTCCCAACTGGTGCGGTTTGTTTGTGTGGATGTGAACATAGTAACTGCACTCACATGTGGACCAAAACAACCACACCAAGAACCAACAGTCCAAAGTCCAAACGAACTCCAGAGAGGTTCATTTACAGTTCGTTTACAATGTGAACGTGAGCCGATATGAAACAAATACTGGGTGTACATTACAAGCTTAAAAAACATCCTGTAGCCAGATAGAGAACATCACCAGTTAACCTTTGGACTGTGGGAGGAAATCAGAATACATGGGGAGCACCCACGCAGGCACTAGCAGAATATGCAAGGTCCACACAGTTGATGGATTTGAACCCTGGACCTTCTTGCTGTGACGTGACAGTTGTAACTACTGCACCACCGTACCGTCCAGGATGATATGATCAAGATAAAAATGTTTCCTCTTAGGCTAAAGGGGGTAACTCAGTATAATGTTGGTATGTCATCATCGTCATCAGCGTAAGGGGACAAGTGGGCTTGGTGGATGCCACACAAACACTCAACCACTTGTCGAGAACATGGTGGCAGATGACTCTGAGGACTGTATCTGTGTAGACCGCTGCAGAGGGCTGTTGAACCACTACACTCTGTAGTGTGCATTCATTTTTGATGAGTTTTATGCCCTACTGTAATATCCCTCTCCATGTCACTGTCCATACACTGCTCTTGCTAACACAGACTGACCATGCCCTGTTCTCATGTTCTTGTACAACTATTATTCAAACAAAATCTTAGTAAGATGACTTAAAAACCACTTCAACATTTAGCTCAAGTCTTCTGTGAACCCTGCGGAGGCGTTCTGACATATTCATCTCATGTAGGTCAAAGCTGTATGGTGTCTTCAGGGTTGATGTTGACTTAGAGGTAACTAATAGCTTTCAGGAAAACAGTCCTGAAGCACCATGGCGCTGTACAATCAGAGGCTCTGTTTGAGACGAGATGTGGTTTCATCTTTTTCCAGCTCTTCACCGATGGAACCACCAACAAGCTAGTGGGCTGCTACGTGGACGACAGTCCAAATGACGTAGTCCTGGTCCGAGTATATGGAAACAAAACAGAGCTGATTGTGGACCGAGACAATGAGCTTAAGAGCTTTCAGGTAGTGTTGCCGCGTTGCAGAGTCCTAAATTAATTAACGTAAGCAGTTGTTTGCTCCTACCTCATTGTCATCTTTTTGTGTCTCCTAGGTGCTGCATGCTAATGGTTGTGCTCCTCGCCTCTACTGCACCTTTCTAAATGGCATCTGCTATGAGTTCATGCAGGGAGATGCACTTGGAACGCAGGATGTCAGAGATCCTACTCTGCTCAGGTGTGAATTTGTCACAGCAATGTTTGAATGGGTTTTTTGAGTTTACTCAAAGATGGTGAAAATTTTAACATCAGTGCTTTTCTGCCTCATACAACAAAGATTAGACACATGGAGAAATGCACAGGACACACAAAAAAAGAACTGTATAATGAAGAAAACGGACAATTCCACAAGGTTCTGAGCTGAAACGCAACATTTAGAGGGAATGCTTTATCTGGTAACACAATGTTTTGACTGTGAAACAGTCTTCCCATTGTGGACGTCAGCTCTGTGTAGTGGACATTATGTATTTTCTTGTTTTAATTCAACTATCTCCAGGAACTCTGTAACCAAAATTTGTCCTTGTAGATAAATGAAGTAGGACACTCTGCCACTGTACTGTGGGGATTCTTTACAACTAGATACTAATGGTCTGTAGTTGAAATCTTGCCACGACTGTAACCTTGTTCTGTCTGTCTCCGCTTAGGCTGATAGCCAGGGAAATGGCTCGTATCCACGCCATCCATGCACACAACGGCTGCATCCCCAAACCCAACCTCTGGATCAAGATGCGGAAATATTTCTCACTTGTAGCCACAGAATTCACAGAGCAAGCCTCCAACATCAGGTGAGCTCCTGCTTATTTACTTTCAAAGCTCAAAGTTAAGGTTATCATTATCACCGTGATAATGATGCAAATAGTCCATAAAGCCCAGCATGAGTTTCCTGTTAAATGAGAACATAAGCTGTTTGCATAGAGCCTGAAATATTCTGCAAGTTCTCCGTGATGAAGCAGTGGGGTAGTTGGGCTTTCTTTGCATAAAAAATGACAGAGATAACTGCAAAAAGCGTACGACTGTATCCTGTGCGGTTCATGTATTGATGTCCAAATATAAACTTTAACATTATTTCTGGGTTTGAAGGCTAACAAATGTTCCTGTTGGCACAGCACTGTCCATTTGAGAATGCGTTAGCAATTAAGACTGTCACGCAGCTGAAATACTCGGCACTGACTCAAGTTCTCTTTTTTTTTTTCCAGGTTTGTTTAAAAAGCACGTAGGACTAAATAAGCAATACACCTTAGCTAGTCTCAGTAGAAGAGAGTTAGGTGCTCTGCTGCAAATACAAGGTCTCCTGTTCCTTTGCAAGCACACATACTGCAAAGTCGCATGATTTGACAGCATATGGGATATAGCCCAAATCAAGTCTGTAGAGAGAAGTAAACATGTGCTAAGGTCAGACGCCGGGCAGAATTAACCAATGACACAATAATGTTATTGCTATGCTAATTAGCTCATTACAACAATGGAGCAAGCTTTATATTTCTACTGAAATATGTCAAAGCAGCATGGAGACAGTAAACTTTTTAATCTTATCTTTGTGTTTTATATGAGTAAAATATCGTTGACTTGTAGCTTTAGCATAAAACTGAACACTTGGCTTGCAGCATAGAAAACACCAAGATATTTGTCAGCCAAAAGATGAGATGTAATAGAGATGTAATTTCCCAGCCTTACCTAGAAGTGTGTTTAATGAAAATGTAAATTCATCTCTATATAATAAGGAGGATAGCATGGCAGAGACATGTGGAGCAGATAAAGTATACCATTTTATAACCTGGCCAGCTGCCCAGTCCCAGCTAATATCTTTGTTCTCTTCCCTGTTAGATTAAGTCCAGCATGTGGCTTATATAACTGTAACAATAATAGCAGACTGGATTAGGGAGTGTTTGGCATTCAGTGGGCCAGCAGATGTTTGCTTAGCCCGGTCTATCAGATCACTTTATCCCGTCCTTGGTAACACAGACAGCTAGAGTCCCTGGTCCTGGACAGCAGACACTTGTTGCACACTGCTATCTGAGAAGCCCTCATGTTGCGCTTCATTTTAATAGGCCGGTGTTATTTGTAGCATTTAGTCTAAATCAGAATCATTTCAGTAACATTTCCTTTGTGGATGACATGTTAGATGAGTTAAGTTTGAGTGAGTGTCAGAGAGAGAGCTAGCTAGATGGAAATCTGAGAGGAGAGGGTGCATCCTGTGTGCACACTCGTTTTCTCTGAGCTCAGATTGTCTTCAGATTGATACTGGAGTAATCCACATAAGCCCATTACATTTAACAAAGGGGTTTCTACTCAGCACTCTTAGCTTTTGCTTGGATGAGACTACCTTAGCTCTTTCTCTGCTATCTAGTAAGACCACCTTTGGACTACCATCAGATCAGACTACACAATCTTAGCTGGGCTGAACCCTTCGTGATGCGTGAAGCCTCAGTAGGTTTGTGTCATGTGCACACAGATGAGAAGAGCAAAGATTTATATAAATACTGGTGCAGGATATGCATGAATGTTTATAAGATAAGATAAGATAACCTTTATTAGTCCCACACGTGGGAAATTTGTTTTGTCACAGCAGGAAGTGGACAGTGCAAAAGTTATGAGGCAAAAATTAGAATACAATAAGAATAAATACAGTACACAACTGTACAGAATAGAATAAAATAAAATACTATATACAGTAGAATAAAATAAAATAAATATACAATAAGATAAGAATAGAATACAAATACAAATACTATATACAACTGAGTAAAAATACAACGATGACAGAAAGGATTATTGCACTTAGTGTTATTGCACATGTGTGGATGTGTGTGTTTGTTCAGTTAAAGTCTTTGTTGTGGAGTCTGACAGCAGTGGGGAGGAAAGACCTGCGAAATCTCTCCGTCCCACACCGTGGGTGCCGCAGTCTCCCACTGAAGGAGCTGCTCAGTGCTGTCACAGTCTGCTGCATGGGGTGGGAGATGTTGTCCATCAGGGATGACAGCTTAGCCGCCGTTCTCCTGTCACTCACCACCTCCACTGGGTCCAGAGGGCATCCTAGAACAGAGCTGGCCCTTCGGATCACCCTGTTCAGTCTCTTCCTGTCCCCAGCAGAGATGCTGCCGCCCCAGCAGACCACGCCATAAAAGATAGCAGAAGCCACAACAGAGTCATAGAAGGTCTTCAGGAGTGGGCCCTCCACTCCAAACGACCTGAGTCTCCGCAGCAGGTACAGCCTGCTCTGCCCTTTCCTGTAGAGGGCGTCTGAGTTATGAGTCCAGTCCAGTCTGTTGTTCAGATGAACACCAAGGTACCTGTAGCTGTCCACAGCCTCAATGTCCATACCTTGGATGTTCAGTGGTTGCAGTGGAGAATGCTTGTGCCTGCGGAAGTCTACCACCAGTTCCTTGGTTTTACTGGCGTTGATCTGGAGGTAGTTCAGCTGGCACCAGTCCACAAAGTCTTGGGTCAGACCTCTGTACTCCTTGTCGTCCCCATCAGTGATGAGGCCGACTATTGCAGAGTCATCCGAGAACTTCTGCAGGAAGCACTGGGTGGAATTGTGGGAGAAGTCTGCAGTGTAGATGGTGAAGAGGAACGGAGCCAGAACCGTTCCCTGTGGGGCCCCCGTACTGCAGACGACCCTGTCCGACACAAAGCCCTGAGTCCTCACATACTGTGGTCGGTCGGTGAGGTAGTCCAGGATCCAGGTAGTGAGGTGATGGTCCACTCCAGAGTTCACCAGCTTGTCCTTTAGAACCGAGGGAAGAATGGTGTTGAAGGCACTGGAGAAATCAAAGAACATGATTCTCACAGTGCTTCCAGCGGTCTCCAGGTTATTATTTCAAGTACAGTGTGGAATAAATCGCAGATCAGATGTTGGTAGTCAGGTCTGAAAACTCAGGAAATGAGGTGTAATGTAGCCATAATAACAGTGACTCCAGCAACAGGAGGGTCCACTGAGAACTTGTTTCTCTGCAACTGTGTTCCCAGGAGTCAGCAGGCCAGAGCCCCACTGAGCTTGTGTGTGCTGCCTGTGCATGTCGCACTCAGTTGTTTTCATTTCACATATGTTCCCACGTGGCATGATACCAAAATAATGAAAGGTGTTTTATTTAGGTGAAAAACGGCCAGTGAAAGTATTCCTGTGATACTTACTTAACAGGTGGACACAGTGTTGTGCGTGCAGCTATTCTGAATGGTTGTCACAACAATGTGCGCGACTACACTGACCTTCTCTCCATTTCCTTCCCTGTCCAGAATACAGCAGGAAGTTCCCAGCAAGGTGGTGCTGGAGCAGGAGATGGTTTGGATGAAGGAACATCTTTCCACACTGGGCTCACCTGTGGTGCTCTGTCACAATGACCTGCTCTGCAAGAACATCATCCACAACAGCAAAGAGGGTAAGTGTCTGAGCCTTAATCTGAGCTTCTCGTCTCACGGCTGTGATTCTATTTTACAACCAGAATGAGCAGCAGCACTTCTAACTTCACTCCCCACACTGCCCCCATTCCAGTGGATCATTGACAGCTGGGTCACTAGAAGTGAGGCATGTTATACTAACTGCCTGCACCAGCACAAAAACATCTTTTGGTGTTAACATGTAAAGGTTGGGAGTTACTAAAGTAATGCTTTATTTGCATAATATTTCCCTTTTAGTATAACTTTCTGTTTGTGCATCTATAACAACCAGCATGCACACATACAGCTCTCTAATATCATATGCTGACTTTTACAGTTGTTTCCTTTTATTCTTTAGGCAGTCTGTGCTAACATTTATAGAAATGGCCTTGGGCTTTGAGGAGTTTCAAAACAGACAGATAGTTGTCACATGTGTTCGCCAAGCTGTGGTACAAAATACTAAGAATTCTAATATTTTGTACCACAGCTTGGCTAATGCAAACAGCTGGACAAATTAGCTTGAATCCACAATAGCTGACTAGTTAGCATTAGCCATGATGCACAGTGCAGCATGCTGATAACCATCAATGACCGGAAAAAAGGATTTGTGTGCTCTACAAATGAAGAAGAAACACCCATAAACAAATATTATATGTTAGTTTGGTTTCTGGGGGGAAAAGCATTTGCCTGTTAGCAAATTAATTCAGCCGTAATGTTAGCATTCCCAATAACTAGGATTTATCTGGCGGTTACTAGGTTTTAAGGAAAACAGAAACATGATCTTTGCAACTAGAGCAGGGCGATATGGCCAAAAATATTTATCACGATATATATTTGAAAATTTGCGATAACGATATAACTGACAATATAATTGATGCGAGACAAAATACAACTCCACAACATTACTAGCGCAAAAAGACAACCTTCCATTTATTTTCACTTAAACAAGAAGCTGGTTTTTATGTACATTAAAGCTTTATAAAAATGTAACAGTGCAAATGCAAATTCCTTGCTGAAAGTTTAACCAAAAGGCATTTCCAGTAGAAATGGGCTGACATATCCTGAGCATAACCATGTATAATATCCACTGAAGTTAAAAAGAGGTGCTTTGCAACATTAAACTGCAGTGTGCAGCACGCATTTTTCGGACCGTAAGGTGCACGGGATTATAAGGCACATTAAGCGAAACAAAGCAGTCAGATAAATCAAACTTTATTCAACTCATTCTTCTTGCTTCCTCCACTTCTGTACCATTGATTCATTAATGTTGAATTCTCTGGCAGCTGTTCTATTCCCATGTTGTTGCAGTATATTAATGACTAACCTCGTATTGTGGATGGATTATCTCAGTTGTTCTCCTGACTGAAGTTTGGTCCGTTTACAGCATCCTGCCATGCGATTGCATTTGTCTCTAACCATCAGGAACCTTCACGTTAACTTTTATAAGTGGAAAAGTGTTAGTGTTGGTCCTCCAGCTTCACTGTTTATGTTATGCTAACATAGCTGTGTCGCTAGCGATCACGTAGCACATCATTATATACCAACTAGCCCAACTTCAGTAACCCTACAAACGTCAGTGCTGTTTAGTTTCCTGTCTTCATTTATGTTGGAAGTGATAGCAGAGCTGTACGTTTGAATTTTTCTAGAAATCTCAGTCAGAACATGCTATATCATGCTTAGGTAACTAGCGAAACTAGCGAGCTAACTTCCGCTAGCTTCCTGCTAACTTCTAACTCCGTTAAATGTAATAAATTTTGTTTTCATGGATGCCTGGAAGTTAAACTTCATAGTTACACCTGGTAAAGCAGCAATGCTGATCGTTTTATTAAAGATGAAAGAATTTAGACAGTTTTTAACTCTCAGTGATGCTGCAGTGTTTGTTTGACCTGAAGAATATGGAGTTTAGGACCCAGATTACTCCCAGATTTAAGAGCATCTTAGCCCGACAAATACGACAATAACGACGGCCGCTTGCATGTTCTGCAAAAAAATGTGCTTCGTCGTGTATCTGACGGACAAACACCAAACCAGTTCCACATCACTGAAGTTGCACCATTTTTACAAACCAATTCTGGTTCATCTGTTTCACTCAACAATCGGCCATGTGCGTATGAAAACAAAGGCACTGCGCATGCGCGTTTTACTCATATTCTACCGCGATATTTCATTTTCCTATCGTTGCCTAACATTATGTCGGTATTACCGTGAACGGTATAATATGGCCCAGCCCTATTTGCAACAGCACCTCTTGTACTACAATTCAAAAAGTTCTCTATTGTAGGATCAAGAAACACATGCAGCGTGAAACAAGAAGCAAAACAGGAAAAAAAATGAATGAGCGTGATGTGTGTAGTTATGCTTGTGCACCAGTTGCAGTGGTTTCATTAACACTCCATTCATCAGGATCTTCCAAAATGCTGCTTGGTCAGGTCTGCTGATATATATTTTGGGTTTATATAGTGCAACTGCTTGTAATAAAACAGACTTTATGTAAAGACTCAGCTCAGGATTCATATAAAGGACTACTCCCTGCTCCGTCCCCATCAGTTCGAGAAATAAAAAAACCTTTGCTTAGATTATAAGCAACAAGCTGTGCATATGTTGTTAGTAAGTTATTGGTGGCAGCATTTACTGTCATACATATTGTTACTAAATCACCTCTGGAGCCACAAGTAGGGCTGGGTATCTGGTATCTGGTATCCGTATTCTTCAGGTCAAACGAACACTGCACTGAGAGTTAAAAACTGTCTAAATTCTTTCATCTTTAATAAAACGATCAGCATTGCTGCTTTACCAGGTGTAACTATGAAGTTTAACTTCCAGGCATCCATGAAAACAAAATGTATTACATTTAACAGAGTTAGAAGTTAGCAGGAAGCTAGCGGAAGTTAGCTCGCTAGTTTCGCTAGTTACCTAAGCATGATATAGCATGTTCTGACTGAGAGATTTACTGAAGTTGGGCTAGCTGGTATATAATGATGTGCTACGTGATCGCTAGCGACACAGCTATGTTAGCATAACATAAACAGGGAAGCTGGAGGACCAACACTAACACTTTTCCACTTATAAAAGTTAACGTGAAGGTTCCTCATGGTTAGAGACAAATGCAATCGCATGGCAGGATGCTGTAAACGGACCAAACTTCAGTCAGGAGAACAACTGAGATAATCCATCCACAATACGAGGTTAGTCATTAATATACTGCAACAACATGGGAATAGAGCAGCTACCAGAGAATTCAACATTAATGAATCAATGATAGGGAAGTGGAGGAAGCAAGAAGAATGAGTTTAATAAAGTTTGATTTATCTGACTGCTTTGTTTCGCTTAATGTGCCTTATAATCCCGTGCACCTTATGGTCCGAAAAATACGTACTGCACACTGCAGTTTAATGTTGCAAAGCACCTCTTTTTAACTTCAGTGGATATTATACATGGTTATGCTCAGGATATGTCAGCCCATTTCTACTGGAAATGCCTTTTGGTTAAACTTTCAGCAAGGAATTTGCATTTGCACTGTTACATTTTTATAAAGCTTTAATGTACATAAAAACCAGCTTCTTGTTTAAGTGAAAATAAATGGAAGGTTGTCTTTTTGCGCTAGTAATGTTGTGGAGTTGTATTTTGTCTCGCATCAATTATATCGTCAGTTATATCGTTATCACAAATTTTCAAATATATATCGTGATAAATATTTTTGGCCATATCGCCCTGCCCTAGCCACAAGCATTATTCAGTTTTTGTGGATTCATGCTAATTTGCCCAGCTAAGTCTGTCTATCTGGTCTTTGTATATCTGCTCCTTGTCTATAGTAACGACAGACTGTTGTTACTATAGACAAAGATCAAAGATTTGCAGTTTTTCAGTGCATTCATGTAAATTTCCACGAATGTTGCAAAGGCGTTGTTCACTGGCTCTTGTTCCGGTCATCCAGGTGTAGATGACTGGTGTACAGTTTGACCAACAAGTCCCTCCAGTGCGTCTAATAGTCACATAATCCCTCTACTTCCTGCTGTCTCAAGATGACCATCAAAAACAATCCCTGCCCCAACAAAGGAAGATTAACTGAAGCACACAGCGGTTCCATGTAAAGATGCTCTTCAGGTTCAGTCAGTAGCACTTGAGTGAAGAGGCAGCACAGCTAGCAGGCTTTTTAACTGTCTCTGACTTTGTCTGTCATGTGACCGTGCACTGCATGTGGCAGCAGTACCTGAAGAGTGCTTCATATTGCTTCCCTTCAGCTTTGCTGTAAATGACCACGTGCATAATAATGTAACATACGTGTTTTCCTTTCTCTGGTCTCCTTAAGGTCATGTGCGCTTCATCGACTATGAGTACTCCAGCTACAACTACCAGGCCTTTGACATTGGCAACCACTTCAATGAATTTGCAGGTCAGCAAAAGCACAGTGTGATTTACATGAGTTAGTTATGTGTTGGTGGTGCACAGCTTATCCTTCAACTGCACGTCCATGTGTTTGTTCAGGCATGACTGAGCCGAACTATGGACTCTATCCTAGTCGGGAGATGCAAATGGAGTGGCTCAAGGTGTATCTGCAGGCTTACAAACTCTTCACCAAGAACACAGAGGAGGTCAGCCAGCGAGAGCTAGAGACGCTCTACGTTCAGGTCAACAAGTTTGCTCTGGTGAGACAGATGTTGACAGATGCACACAGTATCTCTTGCAAGCTCAACCCTGCTGTTTCATGGTACACATCTGATATCTCATTTGTTTTCTCTCAAGGCTTCTCACTTCTTTTGGGGTTTCTGGGCTCTCATCCAAGCCAAATACTCCTCCATCGATTTTGACTTCCTGGGGTAAGTGTGCGTGTGTGAAGAGGTTAGCACTAAGCATCATGACTGTACACGCACACATACACAGAGACGCACACACCACCACATCCGTGCAGATGAGTTAAGCAAGTCATGGTTGAATGTGTTTGGGAATGTGGCAAAGGTTCACCAATCTGCCAAAAATTGTGTCCACAAACTTTTTTTATCTTATCTAAAGAACACATTTGTAACATTCCAAGAAGAAATCTTAGAGAAGAGACATCTCTGTGCAAGCGACAAAGTCAAAAATCAGTCTTTTCTGTCTCTCCGTCTGCAGGTACGCCGTGCTACGTTTCAACCAGTACTTCAAGACTAAACCTGCAGTGATGGCCCTGCAGATCCCAGAGTGAGAGGAAGCGACGGAAGCCAGAAGGACGAGGAGAGGAGCCCAGAAGGAGGTGTGTTTGAAGGTTAAATGCTGGGACTTCCTCTCCCATGAAGACGCTTCTGTGAGCCAGCTGTTGATGGACCACTCCTCGGTCAGCCTGGCATCCTTTTCCTGCAACAAGCGCAATTACTCTTTGATTCCCCCAAACTTTAGCTCCACGTACGTCACCGCTGTAGCCCGAGAATGACAAAACTTTCATGTGTGTATGTGTGCAAGTGCATTCGTCTGCGTTTGTAATATATGTTGAAAAAGCGTCACGCTTTTCCTCTTAGAGCAGCTGAACCAGGCGTAGAGAGGTCTGTGTTTGGGATAGGACACCAAAATGTTCCACAACGCTGGTAATGATGTCACAAGAGGAAGGAGAGGGTTGAAGAGTGTCAGGACGATGGTTTGTTTTCTGAAACTGACTACAGGTGCAGCCTGGTGTTAGTCCCATTGTATGTTTGTGTCTTGTGTGTGTTCCTTCCTCTGTCTCTACATATTTTAACACATTGTGACCTTTTCTCGTTTTTTTTTCCATCACCTTTGGTGCTAAGTGCCCGTAGCTTTCTGCACTGAGCTTTCCTCGGGGTGTCCTTTCCTGTGCCCCCTGTTTTTCCTGTTGAAGCACTTTCAGCTTCTTTCACCACATCTTCCACTTATTCACAGCAAACTGCTGCTGCTTATGCTGCTAGAATTGTAAGACTTGTCTGCGTGTTAGTTGGTGTTTCATGCCAAACGCCACGTGTTTGGAACAGCAAATGGAAAGCTAAATGTGCATTTATTTATTTGTATTTAACATCTCAGGTTAACAACTCTTTGGAAAGTGGTACTGAAGGAGGTGGAGGGGATGGCTACAAAGACGAGACCTCTGTGTGTGTTCCTGTCCTTGAGCATTATTTCCACCTTTTTGACTTTTATGGTTACAGCGCATCGCTCTGTTAAATTTTCCATTTAAGGTTTCCAGACATTTTGGAAAGTCACCACCTCTGTCATCCTCCCTGTGCCATGTCCTCCTCTCCCTTTATACCCTTTCATCTTTGATCGGTCACCAGTTCCCAGTTTTGGTCTTTGGTTGCTTCTCCCTTTACTCTGCGGAGGTTTATGCATCTGTTTTTCAAACCGTCCTGAAATCATAGCCCAGTCTCAGTCCCATGCTGTAATCCACTCTATTCATCTCAGATTTAGTGTCAAAACTTCTTACATAATTACATATTGCATAAGTTTTATCTGGGGTCAAATCAAGTGGAGCTTTCAAAAAGAATCTGGCGTGGGTTAGCTGGGGGGGGTGTCTGTCACGAGATCAGCTACTGTTTTCCTGGGAAAAAGATCTGACTCTGAAAGACGAAGAAATCATTAATGCACAAAAGTACTCACAGCTTAGAAAGCAGGCTTCTTTGAAATCTAGCTTGTCTGTTTGTTATTAAATAATTTTTTTTCAGCTTAACTTTTGACTGAACACCTAACTAAGCAGGAATGTATCTGTTCAAGCCTGTCACCTTTTTCAAAAGGCCAGACAGATTGAGTGTAATGTGAAACATAGACTGTATAGAAAAGATGGATGTAATGTGATGTAATGCACTGTGATGTCAGCCATTGGTGAGCAGAGTCTCATTTTGAAGCCTCGAGTTCTTTCTGAGATGTGGCTCACAGATTTTGTCAGTCATATGCAAAATCGTACAGTACTGTAGTTAACTTCTGACTCAATAATAACTAGTAATAAGTTAATAATTAATATAATAAGAATAAGAATAATAACGTACAAAAATTACATATTGGAAAGTGTAAGACTTGAAACTAGTAACTATTCAGACAATAAAGTCATCAATGATATGTTTACAGAGTTCAAAAACTAAGTTTTTCCAGAGGCTTCTAAGCAGTTGGATGTGTTTTTGTGACATCCCAGTCACTGCAGGACATCCCAGTCACTGCAGGACATCCCAGTCACTGCAGGTCATCCCAGTCACTGCAGGACATCCCAGTCACTGCAGGACATCCCAGTCACTGCAGGTCATCCCAGTCACTGCAGGTCATCCCAGTCACTGCAGGTCATCCCAGTCACTGCAGGTCATCCCAGTCACTGCAGGTCATCCCAGTCACTGCAGGGCATCCCAGTGCAAAACTAGAGGGTAGAGCTGGTGGGGTGGAACCTTTCGTTTCCATCACCGTTGGCCAAACTTGGCTAAAAGCAGAGCAGAACTGGCAGCTTTCTAAAGAAGTCATGGGGTATTACTCCTCCTTGGCACCAAAGAGGGAGCTCTGACCTTTGTCCTCTACTGCTGGTGTCGTGTAACTGGAAGGCTTAATAATTCACCAGCTGAGCTGCAGGAGAGAGGGACTAAAGCATGTTAATGGCTTTCATTCAGAACATTTAACCCGAGAGGGATTTTCTGAGGAGTGCTGTTAATATCTGAAGTCTTTAATCGTTCTTAACTTTAGGTAAAATAATTCTCTTCTCCTCAGTGTGAATAAGAACTGATTGCAACAGTACAAAACTCACTGGGTTTAAAAGTTATTGATGCATACACTGGCACATATTCAGGAGTCTTTTACTTCACTTAGTGAATTTTATTATTTAAATGTTATCAAGAGACTTATTTTATGCCACTAACAGTGAAGTAATCAGCTTGGTGCATTTGCAAAGGCCAAATTGGTGAATTTGCTGCTTGAACACACAATTCTAATACCCAGGTAGGACATCAGCCGGGATAAAGAGGGCATTCGCACTCCATGAGCACTGGGTGAATATCTCCATTCCCTTCAGAGGACACTTATACAGGCTGCTGACAGCTTTTTGAAGGGAAGGCATTTTAGGTTCCTGTAACATTGTATCTTATACGCTGAGTGTGTGGGAGATGAATTGAAGACACATTCCAACTAATCTTTGCATTTATTTAGCAGCTGTTTGGATCTTTGGTCACCTTACCCACTGCTGTAGTATCACCCATTAAAGATGCAGTAATCAGATTTCATGTGGCCAAATAGAACAAATTAAAAAAAAAAAAACTAGCCCGGACAAATATACCAAATAAAAAATGTTTGGCTTTATTTATTTGCACAAGTCTTTCACTGCTCTCAGTCTGTGAGTGCACTTCCTCAAACAGGGAGTGGAGACAGAGATGGCTAATGTGAGATAAGACACCGTTAACTGAGCTGTCAACACATCATCTCAACTGTGATAAATCCATCCAACCAGTGTTAAAACGAACGTGACAAGAAAGCGAAACCTGATATTTGATCCACGATATTGACACAATATTGCATCCGTATTCACAATGCTGCAACAACTTTTTCTCTTTAGACTGGGTGCTGGGTAAGGTGACAGCAAACAGAAAATGAACTTGACTCTGATCCCCATTTCCAGACAAATGCATCCATTTCATGTGTTTTTGTGTCGACTGCTGAGACCGGCTGTCTGAATTTGCTGTTCCACGCTGGCCATTGAAACGGTTCACTGTCATAATGTCGTCACTTTATACGGTTGTTTTAAAATCAGTTTGTTTATTATTGATTCTAAATCTGCACTCCACACTTAGTTTGTTGCAGTCCAGTCATACCAAAACAGTTAGCTTCAGTTTGCATTGCATTTAATTTGAGATTAACTATGTTTGTGTGCGTGAATGTACTAACTTAATTATACAAAATACTGTTCAGAAAACTGACTTCTTTTTCTTTGTATGCTGACATATACTTTTTGTAAGTGCTTTGATTTGAAAGGTAGAGTGCTGTGTAAAAGGACACAGCGCTTGGTTTGCAGATGTGACTTTGTAAATGTACTCATCCACTGCTAAAGGAGATGATGATGGGGGATGTAAATATTGTAAGAAATACTGTGAAAAGCTTACTGTACAGTGATCCTTCACACCTCTGTAGGAGTGGCAAGATTATTTAACTGTTGTTAGTAAATATTTCCATTAAAAAGAATGAAATGGTATTAAAAGACCTTGTTTGGCTTTTGATTTGTCCTGTTATGTACTAGCATGTGACTTGTTGATTTGTCAGTTGCCTCAGCTGACTCTGTGAATTTGGCCCTGATGGGAGGAAGCAACTACAAAACTTGTGCTGGGGGACATCCTGCCAAAACACACAGACTATTTTAATGATCCCTAACTTCCCTAGGAGTGGAACCTTTCACACCTTTTTTGTTTTACCCACATGAGAAAGAAAATGCATCCTCCTAAGGTTTTATGTATCAGGACATATTAAAAATCTTATGGTCCTTAGCGGGTCTGAAAAATAAGTGTAAACAACTTTGGATGAATAATACATGACATGTAACACTGTGTTATTAGTGATTTAAGAAAAAACAAGCCAAAATCCAGGAGTAGTGTTTGAGAAAAGTTCAACCTTACTGCTTCTGTGGGAATGAAGAGGCCAAGAAGTAGCCTGCTGTGATCACCTTAGTAAAACCTTAACTGTGGGCAGTTTTTGTGCCAAATAAAAACCACAATTTTCTCAAAAATTGGACATCCCAACAATTTAACTCCAAATTCAGACTGTGCCATTCTCCGAGGAACTGCCAAAAGTATTCACTCAGCCATCCAAACCACTGAATTCAGGCGTTCCAGTCATTTCTGTGGCCGCAGGATAAAACCAAGCAGCTCGGCATTGGGACTGCTTCAACAAACATTTGTGAAAGAACGGGTCGCTCAGAAGCTCAGTGAATTCCAGCGTGGTACCGTGATAGGATGCCACCTGTGCAACGATTCCAATTGTGAAATTTCCTCGTTACTAAATATTCCACAGACAACTGTTGTAAACAAAGTGGAAGCCACTGGGGATGAAACTCAACAACTCAGCCAAAAAGTAGTAGGCCATGTGAAATCACAGAGCGGGGTCACCAGATGTTGAGGTGTAACAGTGCAGAGGTCACTAAGTTTCTGCAGAGTTAATCGCTACAGATCTCCAAACTTCACGTGTCCTTCAGATCATCGGTCCCCGGGCCACGCCGGCTCAGGTGTGAAATGTATGGTTTTATCGGTTTTTAGTGTTAACTCGGTTTTCCTGGGTCTTTTTCCGTGTGTTATGAATAAATCTTCTGGTTTTTTTGGTACCGGTACTGGTTTTATTAAAGGCCGGTCCGTGAAATTATTGTCAGACATAAACCAGTCCGTGGGGCAAAAAAGGTTTGGGACCGCTACTCTACACGATGTTTATGCAAAGTTTCATCCACTCATCCAGGCCAAATGAAGAACATAGATACACTTTGAATAGTATAGTATGATGACACACAGGCCTAATTTAACCGAAAAGATTGTATATAAATAGAAAATGATATACGATGCTTAGTCTAGTCGTGCTTAACAACAGTAGGTCCACAAGTTTCGTCATTAAAATACAGCCAGAGTAAAAAGAGCGCACACCCTGTACCACCAAAAAAGGTTTTGCTTATCATCAGGACATAATAAAAAAGATCTAGTCTGTACCAGGTCATAAAAGTCAGAAAAAACAGTCTGAGGTGAACAACAGCAACTCCTTATATATTATGCCCTGTCTTTAGTTATTTAGCAAAAATAAAGCAGAAATGCAGAAATAGCGTGTAAAAAAATTAATTAATTAATTAAAGAATAAAAAAATGCTCCCACGATTCAACAGCTTGTCAAAGCAGCAACGACTCGATGTAAATGTTTTTTTTGTCTCAGTCTCTCAAGTCCTTACGAAGGAATTTTGGCCCACTTCCACAAAAAAGAGGAAAAGTTACAGTTTAAACCTGCAAATTTACTTGTGTACAAAGAAATCCCCCCAGATTGGCTTTTATATAAAACGTATACTTTTTAAGTAACAATTTAACTGTTTTTTTTTTTTTAATTTTTGGGTTTTTTTGAGAAAGGAGAATAATAATCTGATTTCCATTTGTGACATTGTGAAAGGAAAATCTTTTTTGAAAATATAAAGCGCCTTGAGGCAACTGATGTTGGGATTTGGTGCTGTATAAATAAAACTGAATTGAATTGAAGACTTGAGATGTCTGAAGGATCTTGCAGGAACACTGATGCCGTTTTCCAACATACTGAACAGTAGACAGTGATTTCATAGCTGTTGGTGTCTGGATGAATGTCAGGCATGCAGGCTGACTGAACACTGAGGCTGGGAGGCTGGAACTCATGAGTGAGCATTGACACTGGCAAGAAAGAGACAGACACAGCAACAAGAAAATCAGAGGAAACAATGTGAGAGCCCAGAAGGGGCTTTCTTGTGTTCTCAGCAACTGCAGTTGGTAACAAGCTGCAACTGTATGTAGCTGGCAGCCACACTGGTCCTGTCCAGCAGATGGCGACACTGGCACACTAAAGGAGCAGTCACTACCGAACACACTGCAGACTCAATTGTAGGCTGATGCAGTTTGAATGATATATAATGGCTTCAACTGTTATAATTTTCTATAAATTGGCATCTATCTATCAGAATATGGTGGAGCTGGTTAAAGGAATTTGTATTAATTCAATAAATGTCCTCTCAAAGATAATAAAAACAAACAAACAAAAAAAACATGCCATGTTTGTGTGTGTGTTTATGTCCACCTACACACAGACTGGAGCAAGCAGGAGTCCACTAAAATATGACAGCCACTCATCCTGACCTTCGCTTACTCAGAACCCCAGAAATACATGTGATAACTTTTGATTGGTTGAAATTTCTTTCAGACAGACTAAGAGCAAAATGTTTCTGAAGAAGTGTGATATAGCCATGACCCTGTCACTGGTTGACCACTGTTCCTTCTTTGGAGTACTTTTGATAGATACGGACCACTGTAGGCCGGGAATTCACTAACAGATGTGATGATGATGAGAAGCAATGTAAATCCAGAACAACCAACCAGACGACCTATCTATCTATCTATCTTTCTATCTATACATATATACATATATATATATATTAGGGGTGCAACGATACTCGTATCGATATTGAACCATTCGATACAGTGCTTTCGGTTCGGTACGCATATGTATCAAACAATACAAATTTTTAATTTATTTTATCAACTTTTCTTCTGACGATGCTGTCTGTGTTGAGAGCTCAGTGGATCTGCGCTCGACTACTCCGCCTAGGCTGCACTGTCGAGCGCAGATCCACTGAGCGCAGCGCAAGCTAGCAAGACAGAAGCTAAGCTCGTTGCAACATGGCAAATTGAACCTCCCCCACCCTCATTCAGATCTGGCTAGGGTTGTCAACTGTCCCTTAAAAAATGGAATCGTCCCGTATTTAGAAACAAAAGTACACGTCCCGCATTGAGCTAATAAGGGACGCACTTTGTCCCGTAATACAGTGAGAATCAAAAGTAGTCTATAACTTTTAATGGAATTAACGCTTTGTTTGAAAACATAATTCCCAGCCCCTCTCCTGCTTTGTGACCAATGTGCTGACACCACACTTATGACAATTCGAGTATGACAATTCAGATTACCGCTCATCTCATTGGTCGAGGAAAGGTCGCTTACGGAGAAAATACCGGAAGACAACAGATGACCTCAACAAGAAGCATGGCCAACAGGGAAACAAACACCGACACTGCGGTGCAAGTCTCGGACGACAGTACACCTAAAGCTGGGCAAACACTGTGCGATTTTTTCAGTCGCGCGATTCAGCTCCTGCTCAAACTGTACGATTGACTCGCAGGGGTTAGAAGTTCATAGGTCACGATGCAGGGTCTCACACTATACCGCCCGATGCTCTGATGCGACCCGAGTGCTCAAATGTGCCTCCATAAAATGAAGGTTATAACAGAAAATCTGTCGCTCTCTCTCCTGATTTACGAATAAATTCTTTACAAATCCTACCATGTGAATTCATGGATTTTTTTTCACATTCTGTCTCTCACAGTTGAAGTGTACCTCTGGTGCACATTACTGACCTCTGTCATCATTTTAAGTGGGGGAACTTGCACAATCGGTGGCTGACTAAATACTTTTTTGCCCCACTGTATTTTGGTCTTCATGTGAAGTATGACCCTGAAGGTAAGCGCGTCATGGACAAAAGTAAAACAGTATGTCGGATGTGCCACGCAATGCTCAATTACATGGGTGGGAACTACTGCGTTAGCGCAGTTAGCTCGTTAACGTGTTGACGTCGTCCAGCCCCACGCACGGGGCGATCCGCGGTAGCTCGTTAACGGAGATTTGCCGTGTTGTGGCGTTAACGTCATTTCAGATTAACGCTGACAGCACTAGTGGGAACACAACAAATATGACTTAACATTTATGCCGACATCATCCTAGTGCAAAGACAAGTGGAAGCAGACAAAAACAACAAGCACGCATGCTACAAACTGTATCCGAGTCATTTAGACCAGCGGTCCCCAACCCCCCGGGCCTCGGACCGGTACATATATATTATATATAATATAATATATAATATAATATATGTTGTGATATTTTGATACCATGGTAGCATTTACAGGATATTGTTTTATAGTGATATTATACAGGAAAACTGTTACTCAATAAGGCCCATTTACTAGTTGTTTTTCTCTTTCTCTCTGACTAGGGTTGCCAACCGTCCCTTAAAAAACGGAATCGTCCCGTATTTAGAAACAAAAGTACACGTCCCGTATTGAGCTAATAAGGGACACACTTTGTCCCGTAATACAGTGAGAATCAAAAGTAGTCTATAAATGTTTATGGAATTAACGCTTTGTTTGAAAACATAATTCCCAGCCCCTCTCCTGCTTTGTGACCAATGAGCTGACAGCACACTTATGACAATTCAGATTACCGCTCATCTCATTGGTCGAGGAAAGGTCGCTTGCGGAGAAAATACCGGAAGACAACAGATGACCACAACAAGAAGCATGGCCAACAGGGAAACAAACGCCGACACTGCGGTGCAAGTCTCGGACGACAGTACACCTAAAGCTGGGCAAACACTGTGCGATTTTTTCAGTCGCGCGATTCAGCTCCTGCTCAAACTGCACGATTGACTCGCAGGGGTTAGAAGTTGGTA